GAGTTAAATATGCCTTGCTTCATAAAGATGAACACGAACATTTGGAAGCCAAGGGTAGAATGTTATGATATTGTTATCTCTGGTGTTGAAGGTTTGGTCCTCAGTTGGTGGTATTATCAAGACGTGATGAGACCATAAGGGCACTAGCTTCATCATTAAATCCATGATGATTTCATAGTTCAATGGGCTGTTAGGAGCTAGGGTCTCAATAAGGCAGCAGACCACTTGTAATGTGCTTTTGAAAAGTGTATCTTGTCCATGGAACCATCGTCTCTCTCTTTTTCTTTCAACTTTCTGTATACTATGAGGTGAACACCTTTCCATTAGGTAGATGACAAGTAACACCCCTTACTCCATCTGAAAGCATCCCCAGACACTGCCAAATATCCTGTGGGGAGAAAGGAAAGAACTGATCCCAAACTAGAACCAGTACAGTGGAGACTCTGAACCACTGGTTTCTCTTGCAATTCAGAAGATCCTGTACCCTGGGTGTGGGACCCCATCAGACATCCATGAGCTAAGGATTAAGTGTCAGCTGTCCCTTAGAAGTTCCATAGATTTTAGAAATATTCCAGCATTGCATACCACCACTACAACCTAGTTGCAGAATATTCTCAACACTTCAAATAGAATCCTGTTCCCTGTACCCCTAGTCCTTGTTAGCTACAGTAGGTCTACTTTCAAATGCTTTGGTTTTGAGGTTGAAATTTTTGCATTAGATTTCATTTGGGATAAAGTTTTGCTAATAAAAAGTTTGGAGCTGGGGGTAGAGGGATGTTGTGGTGGCACAACTTTAATCCCAGCACTTGGGAGACAGAGGCAAGTGGACCTCTGTGAGTTTGAGGCCAGCCTGATCTCCAGAATTCCAGGACAGCCAAGAATACATAGTGAGACTCTGTCAAATACATGGATATAAATCTAGATATTTGAAATATATAAATATATATTTAATTTTATATATATATTGGAAACTTCTTCCTGGCTCCAGGCCGCCTCCCAATGGATCTAGATTTGAGGTGTCCTAAATGTGTGGGAGTGATCATCCTGACTCTACAAAGTCAATTTTCTCACAAGAGACATTTCCCAACTAGTTATAAACACATAAATGAGCCAGCACTGCCCTGAAGGGCCAAATCAATTTTAACTACCAAGAAAATTAAGCAGCTGATCCATGGCATTGCCCGTGCCCTAATTTACAGTAAAGAGAATAACAAGGCCTCCGCACTCTCATTTTGTTTTCCCTCCTGAAGCCACTTTGCACAGTGAGTACTTACATGCAACACTCCCACTCCAGAGACCAGCAGCCAGCAGCGGGTGACACAGAACACAGCCCTGACTATCCCACTATGGTGGCCCTTCCTATCCTCCAGGGACTTTCTACTTCCAGGCCTATTTTAGGCACTCCCACTTTCAGCAAGCTTCTGTTCTGTTTGGTGGTGTGCACCCAGAGAACTGTGGGCTTCTGATGAACCAAAGCCATGTCAGTCCAGTCACATGTTTTCCCACCTGTTGTGGAACATTTGTTTAACTAGGCACAGCTGTATTACATTTGTTTATGCTGCATTTGCTTAACTACGTAAAGATGTGCTGCATTAGCGTTAATTAAATAAAATTAAACTGGGCCCAGAGAGGAGGGGTAGCAACTAGTTGGCAGGAAGTAGCGGGAAGGAGCGTAGCATGGGTTTTTCAATTGGGGTGGTGTGGAAGGAGAGCGGCTTACAGGACGCCAGCAAAGAGAGAAAGTTAGCCACTTAGCTGCTCTAACTCTCTGAGCTCGCAGGCTTTCACCCTAGCCTATGGATCTCGAGTTTTCTTAGAATGATAGAGACTTAGGAAAAGCTGCCTTTAGTGGCAGCAACAGAGCCATTGTCTGGGGGAAGAGAATTCCTTCGTAGCCAGCTGCTAATAGTTTGAAGTGCAGCCAATGTGACGAAGCACCCAGCCTTAGTGCCTGGAACAGAGGCATTTGTTAACATCTAGCCAATGGTTATATAGTGACAGTTCCAAGTCCAGGAGAAGAGTCTTCATTGACTTCCTCATCTCACACCCTTTGTTTTGTGACACTATTCCTGAGGAGGTATGAACACAGGGTGTTTTTCTATATTGAAGCAGGTCCAAAAGTCAAAGAAAATCTTGGGGACATGAAAAGGGAGCCCCTCACTCCAGATTCTGGTTGGAGCCTCTTGCCAGCAGAGAAGCAAGAATTCCAGAACAATAGCAACTGCTTAAAGTCCTCTTCAAACCATCAATCTGCAGTCTTCTCATAATTTCACCAGAGATCCCATTTAGAGGGAAAGAAGAAACTTTTGGTAGGACCCTAGGAGCTTCTAGTGTTACCTTATCAGATTATAACTCCATACACAGCATCTCTGGAGCCATCCCTCTTCTCTCCTGCCTAAAAACAGAAAGAATGGGGAGGGAGGCTTTCTCAGCAGCCTTTTCAGATATAATCTAAGAACCACCAATATAGCATGCGTGGCTAGCACTAAGACAATTGCTTGCTCTCCCTTGGGTGTGTCTTTTCCGTACTCTTCCTTAGGAAGCACACACTCCTACTTGAATGTGTCTTTATTCTGACTGCTTCTTTTTCTCTTAACTCTCATACTTTAGCCTGTACTAAAATATCTTTCTGGGCTGGAGAGATGGTTCAGAGGTTAAGAGCACTGGCTATTCTTCCAAAGGACCGGGGTTCAATTCCCAGCAACCACATGGTGGCTCACACCCATCTGTAACGAGATCTGGTGCCCTCTTCTGGCATGTAGGCATACATACAGGCAGAACACCATATACATAATAAATAAATAAATCTTTAAAAATATATATCCTTCAGGGATGGATGCATGGTTCACTGATAAAGAGCAATTGTTGATCTTGCAGAGGACCCAAGTTCAGTTCCCAGAAACCATATAACACCTCAGAACCATCCAGTTCCAGGGAACTGACACCATCTTCCGGTCTCAACAGGCAACAGACACACACGGTGGTGTACATGCATATATGCAGGCAAAAACATAGACACATTTTTAAAATTTATCTTTCCTAAAAATCTCCAAATTTGGGGCTGGAGAGATGGCTCAGTGGTTGAGAGAGCTGACTGTTCTTCCCAAGGACTTGGGTTCAATTCCCAGCACGCACATGGCAGCTCACAACTGTCTGTGACTCCAGTTCCAGGAGACCTGACACCCATGGCAAAACACCAATACACATAAAATAAAAATAAATTATTTTTAAAAATCTCCAACTCCTTTTTTTTTCTTTTCTTTTTTGGTTTTTCGAGACAGGGTTTCTCTGTGTAGCTTTTGCGCCTTTCCTGGAACTCGCTTTGGAGACCAGGCTGGCCTTGAACTCACAAAGATCCACCTGGCTCTGCCTCCCAAGTGCTGGGATTAAATGCATGCGCCGCCGCCACCCGGCAAAAATCTCCAACTCTATTTCATTAATCTGCTACTCCTGAAATCTTTTTTGGAAGCCATGAATCCTAGTTTGGCCTAAGTGGAGATCCCTAAAAATTCAGGTAAACAATTCAGGCTGAGAGTGGCACTGAGGAGCCGAGTCTTTGTCCCATGCCTGCTGATACATAGAAATAGATGCCCAGAATAAAATTCCCATGCTTCCTTTGTTTCGGGGAGGTATTGCTTTGGAAATATCTCCTTTTGTAAAGAACAGAAACTTTATATAGTCTGCTCCCTTAAGAGTTAATCAAGGACCTGGCTTGGTCTGCCCCAAGGAAGGTGAGTTCACTTTATGATAATGTGCTTTTTTTTTTTCTTCCCAGAATCCCCACCTCCAATGCAGTACCTAAGAGATGAGCCACCATGAGGTTCAACTTAGTCTATCCACCTTCAAAAAGTATAACTTTTTCTTTTAGATGCTGGCCAGAGCCTAAGTATGCTTTTAAATGTCCTAACTGGGGCTGGAGGGGTTGCTCAGCAGTTTAAGAGCATAGGGTTGGTGTCCCACACCTTCAATCCCAGCATTTGGAAGGCAGAAGCAGGAGGATCTCTGTGAGTTAGAGGCCAGCGTGGTCTATAGCATGAGTTCCAGGATTCCAGAACAGCCAAGGCTACATAGAGAAACCCTGTCTTGTGAAGAGGGGGAAAAAAAAAAGCACAGGGTTCTGTTTCTGTTCCCAGCATCTACCTGATGGCTCAAAACTGTAATTCCAGATCCTATGGGGATCCAATGCCCTCCACACTACTGAACACACAGCGTATATATACATGTAGACAAACCACTCATACACATAAAATGAAAATAAGAATGTTTTACCAAAGACCAAAACTCCCTATCTAACACTGAAATTCCTTGCTCTCTTTCTAAAGCTCCTCTCCCCTGCAGCATGTGGATGTCTGCTGGCAGGTATCTGACCTCCTGCAGCCTTATCTCAAAAAGCACGGCTTTTGTTCTTCTCCATTCTTCTTTTCAGGCAGCTGTGAGATTCATAGTTAGCTTGCCTTGGGGTTTTCATTTTAAACTCTGCAAGCTTCTGTGTGAGTCTGTTTGTCCTCAAACTTCCATCTGTAACTGTTCTTAAATTCTCTTATTAGTTAAACTAAGAACCTCAAGAGGGGCCCCTAATTTCCCAAGTATTATATGATGGCTCTGCTGGGACGCCCCAAGATTTCTGGTAACACTTCTTTCACCTTTTCTTTTTTTGGGGGGAGGTGGTGGTGGCACTGGTGGTGTAACAGCCCTAGCTGTCCTGAACTCTGTCTAGGTAGACGAGGCTGGCCTCGAACTCAGAGATCCACCTGCCTCTGCCTCCCCCAGGCTGGGATTAAAGGTGCTATGCCACCACACACTGCTTCACCTTTTCTTTGACAGAGGAAATGAACCCTTCCCTGCACCCCTAAACGCCATCACTTTTGCTCTGCTTACCTGCTACAGGTAATAAATCTTTGTCCACATTCTTTCTTGGCTGTAGTTGTTTGGCAAAGGCCAAAAGACTTTGCACACATTAGGATGTGAAATCACTGTTTAGTGACAATGAATGCCACACCTATTCTACTGTTTGCTGCTACCCCAGTGAATGGTGTTGGCGGTGAATGTTCAGAAAACGACAGTTCAGTGAATGGAAGCATATCATCTTTGAATATTGTGCTCCTGTTCAATAGCACAGTTTCAATAATTACATAACAAAGTACAGGCCAATGTTGATTTTTATACTGAGGTACTAAATACGGCCTGGTAACTGCCTATGGCTGATCTTCCGGGGATGTCTTTGGTGTTCTGAGATAAAACTTGTGGCTCGTGTTTTATTCACCGCTTTGTCTTACAGAGTTAACGGTTGCGTTTCCAATAAGAAAGCAAAGTCAGTGCTCAAATGTCCTGGCATTCTCACGACCAACCTCCTCTCTTCATCGAACACCTCAGGGCTTTTCATGTCTGGGAAACCGTAACCAGGCCCCTTCCCACTACGTCTCTCAACTTCTTCAGATCCTATACTAGCCCTTCAGTCAGTCAAAAACTCTTCAGCATGGAGGTAAATAGGCCCGCGCCGAGAACCTAACAGCAAAAGAGAAAGCGAATGCGCGCGTGGCCCTCTGGGAATTGTAGTGTCGGGAGGCACAATCGGGCAGGAAACCGACTTCTCAGGCGCCCAAGAGTCCGAGTTCGAGGAGGCGGGGCGAGCGGAGAGACGTAAAGCCCGCGCGCAGCCTTCTGGGAGCTACAGTATTAAGCTCTGGTGTTGCTCTCAACTTTCCTCCTGCGGTTCGTGACAAGTGACGAACCGGGGTCGATCTTGGTCTAGGCTCGCACTCCGAGCCTGTCGGCCACAGAATGAGGGTCAGGACCAAGGGGCGAGACCGGAAGCGCACGCACGGGCCTCTGGGAGGTGTAGTCGGCGCGCAGGCGCAATCCCAGCTAGTAGCGGCGGCCTTTGTTTTGCGATTCGGCGGTGAGTAAGATGGGGGCGTTGGGGTGGAGGTGGGAGGCTGGGCGGGCGAGGGGAGGGGTCTGAGGCCACAGTCGGAGAAGGTACCCAACCGCACCGGTGCATGTGGCGTTCTCTCTGCTTCTTTACCCCTTCGGGTGTCGCTTCGGGAACCAAAGGGACGGGACCGAGGAGGTGGGGCTGGCCTCTAGGGATCTCGGGATCTTTGAGGAGGATCTTGGCCCTGGGTCCAAGCTTTGTCCCAAGACTTGGAATCCCCGAGTTTGGGGCAAATATTGCAGTGATTGAAAACAGTCTACCCGAGAGGGAAGGGCTTCTATCCCAACTTTCCCAGCTGCCTAAGACAAATTGAGTGCCGCTCTGGGTGTCAGTCACCATTCTCATGCTTACATTAATACTAAGAATACGGAGTTGGGGAGATGCTGAGTAGGGAAAGTGCAAGCATGAAGAACTGACTTCGAATTCCCAACCCCATGTAAAGCTAGCCGGATGGTGTGCTCACTTGTTGTGTCCGCAATCCCAGTTTTCACAGGACGAGACAGGAGAAATCCCTGATACCCAGCAGTGAACAACACCAACAAGCTTGTACAGTAGTAGGCTTCCTCATGATGTTTTTCAAAATGTCTTTAGTGTTAGTTAACCCTCCCAGTATTTCTTCATCTACCATGCCCTCCTATTTCCTATCCCAATCTAAGCCTTCCTGTACTGTTATTACCCTTTAACTCTTTCATACCACTTTGTTCTGTCACCCCCTCCCATGAAATCACCCATCCACATGTACACACACACACACACACACACACACACACACACACACACACACACACACACATGCGCGCGCACATCCCTGTGGCCCCTTACAAAATTTACTGGCTTCTATGAGTATTTCAAATGAAACATACATATCCAAAGATTCAAAGCTAACACCCACAGATAGGAGGGGGGGGGAAGTTTGTCTTTTTGGGTCCGGGTTGCCTCAGAATGATTGTTTCCAGCTCCATCCATTTATCTGCGAATTTAATAATTTCATTTTTCTTAGTAGCTGAATAGTATTTCATTGTGTGAATATACCACATTTTCATTATCCATTCATTGTTTGATGGCCATTTAGGCTGTTGCAATTTTCTGGCTGTTGTGACTAGAGCAGCAATGAACATGAATGAGCAGGTATCTCTCTAGTAGGATACAGAGTTCTTTGAGTATGAATCTGAGAATGATTATATCATAGATCTATTTCTAGCTCTTTGAGGAACCTCCACACTGATTTCCATAGTGACTGTACCAGGTTGCACTCCCCACAGCGTGAATTAGTGCTCCCTTTTCCCCACATCTACCCCAGCATTTGTTGCTGGGACTCTGGCTTTTTCCCCCAGGTATGTGTATGAGTGTTTTTTACACATGTATGTATATGCACCATGTGCATGCCAGGTGCTCAAAGAAGTCAGAAGAGGGCATAGGATCAACTAGAACTGGAGTTACAGATGGCTATGAGCTGCCACATAGGTGCTGGAACTGAACCTAGGTTCTTTACAAAAGCAGTAAGTGCTCTTTACTGAGCCACCACTCCAGCACCTGGATTATGTTTTCTCAACCTGCCACCCTCCCCTACCCTGCACCAAGGATTTTGTTTCATTAGATTAAGCATAGAGGTTGAAGCATCCTTAATCTGAGAGTCTAAAACTTTTGCACATTTTAAGCCAAAAAAAAAAAATCTATGCAAAAATTCCAAACTTCAAAAATCCCTGAAATCTGAAACACTTCTGGTTCCAAGCATTTCAGATCAGAATATCCATGAATAACTTTGGCCCCACAGGTGTCCACCTGACAGTTTTTGCAGATATTCCCTTCCTCACTGCCCAGATACAGCTGCTATAAGGGTACCTCCAGGAGTGCAGTTTCTGGTGGACCCTAACTTGCCCATAATTCTTTGCCACTTTTTTGTTAATTCTCAAACACCATTTTATTTCATGGCTCGGTGGTTAGCAGCACATGTAGATGACCCAAGTTGGATTCTCAGTATGGACATCAGATGACACCTAACCACCTGTAACTCTAGCTCCAGGGAAGTCTGATGTCTCTGCCTTCTTGCAGGCAAAGACAGACACACACGCGCTCACACACACACACACACACACACACACACACACACACACACACATACACACACCAATTCACTCACATATACAGAATAAAAATAAACTCTTAAAAGATGTTCTTCATCTAAATTGTTGGAAATGACCTTATAGCCTAAGGTACTGTTGCCTATTTACATACTTCAGGAGGTCACCTAGACTCCACAGGAAAATCTGACCTTCACCTCAACTGGAGAGAACCCTTCTAGCCTGTTTAACGTTCCTGTTAATCAGCTGCCCCACCAGAAATAAGTCTAGACTGGCTCAGCTAAGGACACTCGTGGTTTCAGGAACAAGTGACCTTTTAGGGCTTGGTTGTATATTTTACCAAGGAGGAGTTGGGGCAACTGGAATCTTCCCAGTGGGCCCTATACCATACTGTGATGATGCAGACTTTTGGGCTCTCTTAGTAAGACTGCCTCCCTATTCCTGATGCTTTGCTTACATTGTGGACTCTAGTTCTCCTGAATTAAAAACGGGTGTAGGACTTACATTTAAAAGCAAATACCTGGACTTTGACTTCAGGAACTTGATTATTTAATTGTAGAGAATATCAAATAGAATAAATTTTAGTAAGTCACAGACCTAACCTGAAAATACCAGAAGCAGAGAAACACAAGGTGAGTGAGATACATTGGCCCTGTGGTTGTAAAATCTCAGGGTAGACGTGGGTCATCCTTTTGTGTTCTCAGGAGCCCTCTTACTCTTTGCACCACCATCTTTATTTGGGGTGCTGTAACAAAATAGAGTGAGTCAATTATAAACAATAGAAATGTATTGCTCTCAGTTCTGGAGGCTGGGGATTCCAAGAGCAAAGTACCAGCAGATTCAGTATCTTGTGAGGGCCCATTCATTATTGATGGCACCTTGCTGCATCGTCATATGGCAGAAAGGGCAAAGGAGGGACTCAAGAGATGGCTCAGTGGTTAAGAGCACTTACTGTTCTTGCAGAAAACCTGGGTTGTGTTTCAGTTTATTTAAGTATGTGTATCTGTCTAAATGTATGTCATGTGTACAGATGCTGGCTGAGTCGGGAACAGAATATCAGATCCTCTGAAGCTAGAGTTACATGTAGTTGTGAACACATAACATGGGTGCTGGGCCACACACGTTGTAGGCAAGTCCCCTACCACTGAGCTGTATCCTGGCACCCATACACCAATTTTGATATGCGTGAAACTGAGTTACCATCTTTGCAGAACTAATGCTTGGTCAGGGAGGAGGTCACACAAAACATAAAGTAAGAATAACATAAAATTACAGATTTTGGTAAGTGCTAAGAAAAGGAATAGATTGCGGTAAGTGCTAAGAAAATCAGTAGTTTCGTTGTTTGAACAGTGATCCTTTACCAGTTTTCAAGAATGATAAGAAATACTGTCCTGCTCATGTAGTATGTCTGCCAAGCACTTACTGTGGCCGGGGTACAGTTGTTGCCCAGATGGACAGAATCTCTGCCCTGTAGGGATCCTGTTTCTTTCTGGGTTCGCAGAACAGTTAAATTTTTCTGTTACTTTTAGGTGTCTTCCTATATAGTCCAAGCTGGCCTCAGACTTGCAATACTTCTGTTGTTGTTGATGATGTTGTTGTTGTTCTTTGTTTTTGTTTTTGAGACAGGGTTTCTGTTTGTAGCCCTGGTCATCCTGGAACTCTCTCTGTAGACCAGGCTGGCCTCAAATTCAAAAGATTCACCTGCCTTTGCATCCTGAAAACAGGGATTAAAGGGGTGTGCCACCACCCAAAGATTTTCAGTACTTTCAATCCTCCTGCTTCAGCTTCTTGCATACAAGACAAGTATGTGCCTCCGTTCTGGCTAAAATCTATATAAATATATAAATTTAAATTTTATTTTATATATGTATTTTGCTTGCATGCATGTATGTCTGTGTCCCAATGCATGCCTGATGCCTACAGAGATTAGAAGAGGGCATTGGATTCCCTGGAACTGTAGTTATAGATGGTTGTGGGCTGACATGTAGAAAATTAAACCTAGGTCCTCTGCAAGAACAAGTATTTTTAAACACCAAGCCATCCCTCCAGCCCCCATAAAAGCTATTTTTAAACTCATGCACTAAACTTACCAAAATTATCAGTTTCACACACATACACAAACTCAAGCTACATGCCACACAAACTCTTTTCTCTTAGAACAATTTCTTGTTTCTTTCAGATTTAGAAATCAGACAAGAAAACAGATTTTCAGATCCAAAACAAAGCATCTCTGGAAAATAGTAGTTTTTCTGATGGGAAAACTGGGGGTGGTGTATGGCACTTCAAGAATAAGAACATTGTAGGTCCCTGAGAACACAGGTGTGAGAGGTAAGTGGAGCAGGTGATTTTCATTCCTATGAAAATACCCACTTAGAAGAAAGAGAATGGGGCTGAGGAAAACTTGAGTCTGAGCACTGATCTCTCAGCTCAACCAATGACTTTTGAAAAGCAAGGCCCCCTCACATGTGGGGAACACATGGAAAGGGAGAAGCTGGACTCAAATGATCAATCAAAAACTAATACAAAAAAGAAACTCTACAAATGCCAGAAATTTCTAAAGGACTTTAGTCACAGTTCAGCACTCATTGAACATCACCAAATACACACAGTAGAAGGAAGACTTTATTCATGCTGTGAATATGGAACGGTTAAGCACTAACCAAACACCATAAACAATCAACACCAATGAGAAACCGTACAAATATTCTTAGTGTGGAAGGGCCTGTAACCAGATTGCCCCACTGATCCAGCACCAGAGAACTCACAAAGGTGAGAAGCCATATGAGTGAAGTAAATGTGGGAAATCCTTCAGCTTCAGCTCCTCCTTCAACCAGCAGACTCACACAGTTAACAAGCCCTATGAGTGCAGTGAGTTATGGATCATCAAATTATCCACCTCACCCAGCACCTACGAACCCACAATGGAGAGAAGCCCTGTCATTGGGAATTTGGCAAGGCCTTGAGCCATATAGCTCATCTCTGACCAAACACCATCAAATCCACACTCGAGAGAAGCCTTATGGAGGCTATGAGTGGGAGAAAGCCTTCACACAGGAGAAAAGCCCTGTGAATGCAGTGACTGTGGCAAGGCCTTCAGCCACAGCTCAACTCTAACAGAATATCAGAAAACTCATAATGGGGAAAAGCTAGCTTGCTCCCCTCATTTAGCATCAGAGGAGCCACACAGGAGAGAAGCTCTATGAATGTAGTGAGTGTAGAGCCTTCAGCCAGAATTTCTTTCTCATAGAACAGCAGAGGATTCACACCAAAGAAAAGCCTTATGGGTGCAGTGAATGTGGGAAATCCTTCAGCCACAGCTCATCACTCAGCCAGTATGAAAGGACACACACTGGGAAAAAGCCTTATGAGTATCAGGATTGTGGCAAGGCCTTCAATTAGAGCACCCAATCTTACTCAGCACCAGAGGATCCATAGGAGAGAAACCATACAAGTACAAGGACTGTGACAAAGCCTTCACACACAGCTCTTCTCTTACCGATCACCAGAGAACTCATACCTACTCCACATGGGGACGTCTTAAGCCAATCCATCCAGTACTAGACTTACCACTGTCATTCTCATGAGAACACAAATATACATAAAGTTGTCATGTACCACACTCTCCTCAGAGGTATCAGAAATGACAGTGACCATCAAGCTCCAAGTCATTCCTGGATCTAAACAGTAAGAAAACGTGGACACCATCAACACGAATCCATCAACCTTGAATGTTCATTAATGTATTCTAGTATCTACAAAGAAGAAATTGAACAAGTACAGGTCTGTGATAATTTTTGTCTTCATTTGTGTTCAAGGATTTACCATATTTCAAATCAGAGCTGTTCAAAGTGGTGAGAAATTTAAAAGAACTAAATGACATCAGAACTTGTTTTTGGTTTTTTTTTTTTTTTTTTTTTTTTGGTTTTTCAAGACAGGGTTTCTCTGTGTAGCTTTGCGCCTTTCCTGGGACTCACTTGGTAGTCCAGGCTGGCCTCGAACTCACAGAGATCCGCCTGGCTCTGCCTCCCGAGTGCTGGGATTAAAGGCGTGCGCCACCACGCATGTGCAATTTGTTATTATTGCACATGATACTCTTGAAGTGGTGCTTCAGAATAGGTCAAGTTGACTCTGATAGCCCCAGAAAATACAACAGCAAAGTGTTTCAAAAATAAATAGCATCTTCATGGAATTTCTATGAATACTTGACTATCTCAGCACACAGCTGATTTTTTAAATAAATTGATAAGGGTAAACCCTTATCAGCAGTGCCCCAGATTTCAGTTCTATATTCCAAAATATCAGCCTACTAAAAACAGAAATTAAGCTAGATATCTTAATAATTTTACAATAAATTAAGTAATGTGCAATAGGATTCAAAAGCTTTGTATGAGAAAATTTCAGACATAGAACTACTTACATGGAGCCTCAGATTCTTAGGTGAATTCACTCTGTTCTCAAATTTTACCGCAAAATACATGGGTATTAGAAATGCAGATACTGCTGTTTTACGAAAAAGGGGAAGATTTATTCAGTTGTTAAGCTACCATCTCATGAACAAACTAATTCTTTCCTGAAGTAGTTTTTCAGTGATTTGTGTATCTCAATGTCCAGTAACCTTTTGTTTTTGTTACTATTTTCACATTTGATTTATAGACAGAGTCTCAGGTAGCCCACACTAGCCTTGAACTTAGCTGTGTGGCTTACGCTGGCCTTGAACTCTTGGTGCCCCTGCTTCTGTCTCCTAATTGCTGGGAGTATGTCCCTACATGTGTTAAACTTTTGCTTTTATGCCCCAGCCAGCGAGGTCTTCAACGGGGACCTGAAGGGAGGGCTGGCGAATGAGAGGGACAAGAGACACAAAGAATGAGAGCAAGACAGGATGTCTGATCAAGCTCCAAAATTTTATTTTCCTCTTAAGGCATATATAGGCGGGGGCAAGGGGGGGGGGGTACAAGCAGGGAGGGGACTTTAATCATGGGTTGTTCAGCTAGCAGGGAACGTTGCTATGTGGATTATCTATCTACTCTTGCCTAACTGCCTAACTGCAGCACGGTCACCCGATTTCTGAGAAGAGGTTCTGGTGCTATGGAGACTTAAGCAAGGCCTAGATCTAAGAAAAGAGGAGAGAAGCCCAAATATGGCAGCATGTGTGTAAAGGGTCGCTTAGGCTTATGACTCCCGTCACTTTTATATTCAACTTGAAAGCTCTTGGGTTTTGGCGGGGGGAGGGGGGGTTGTTGGGTTTTTGTTGTTGTTATTTTTATTTTTCTGTCTGTGTAGCTTTGGAGCTTGTCCTGGAACTCACTCTATAGACCAGGCTGGCCTCGAACTCACAGAGATCCACCTGCCCCTGCCTCCTGAGTGCTGGATTTAAAGGTGTGTGCCACCACCGCCCAGCTGAAAGCTCCTTTCAATATTTAGCTTTAACACTTCATTTTTTTTTTTTTTTTTTTTTTTTTTTTTTTTTTTTTTTTGGTTTTTTTCGAGACAGGGTTTCTCTGTGTAGCTTTGCGCCTTTTTCCTGGAACTCACTTGGTAGCCCAGGCTGGCCTCGAACTCACAGAGATCCGCCTGGCTCTGCCTCCCGAGTGCTGGGATTAAAGGCGTGCGCCACCACCGCCCGGCCTTCATTTTTATATTTAACTTGCAAGTCCACAATATTTCATTGAACCCCAAATCCACAAATAGTTTTCTGAAAACCACAACCTGTAAATGGTGACTTGTCATAATTTGTTAGAAAGAATATTGGCTGGTTTGGGTCCTCAACTATCAATAGTGTTTATATCAGATGATTTTATTTTGTTTCTGTGGTTTGTTTGTTTTGTTGGGGTTTTTGTTTTTGTTTTTTGAGACAGGGTTTCTCTGTGTAGCTTTGCGCCTTTCCTGGAACTTGCTTTGGAGACCAGGCTGGCCTCGAACTCACAGAGATCCGCCTGCCTCTGCCTCCCGAGTGCTAGGATTAAAGGCATGTGCCACCATCGCCCGGCTGATTTTATTTTGTAATAATGGTGCTAGGGTATAAATTTCTAACTATTCTAAAGTTTCTCATCAGTAGTGTTTACATCAGATGATTTAATTTAGTAATCACTGTGCTAAGATAACAAATTTCTAACTATTCTGAAGTTTCTCTTGGAATGAGACATGTTTTAGTCTTCCAACATTGTTCTTTGGTATGCTTGTAGGATGCCTTTTTGGAATTGTGTAGTGTGGGTGTGTGGACTCACGTGGGTCCATTGAGTGAAGACTCATAGGCACCTTAAGAATGAATCTAGCCTTTCTTGGCTTCAGGGGGATTCAGCCTCTAAGAACTGAAGCACTTTCCCTTCATCCAGGGCATTTTTATTTTTCTCCATATTTACACTTTAGCCAGCTGATTTCCATATGCTCAAAACAACCTGAAAGAAGCTTCCAAAAATACAATGCCAAGTGCAAATTTCTTGATTCATCAGGTACCATAGTTTTCCAGGTTTGCCAAACAAAGTTTTGCATAGGCTTTGTATCTTTGGGAAACTCTCAGACAAAATTCACATAGGGCAACAAGAGAATCAAAGGGTATCTGCTAAACAAAACATGGATTAGGGCTAGGTGCTAACACTCTGGAGCCAGGCCAGGTATAGCCCAGTGGGAATGCTGCCACAGAAGTGAAAGTTTGAAATGTAGAAGGTGGTGACACCTGTAATCCCAGCATTAAGGAAGCTGATACTGGAGTATTGCCACATTTAAGGCCAGCTTGGGTTATATGGTTTTTGAGAACCTGTCTCAAAAACTGTAAGGGTTGGAAATGTAGCTCAGTGGTGTGCATGGATGCTTGCCTAGCATCTACCACAAGGCCCAGGATTTGATCTCCCAAACAGAAGAAAAACAAAAACAAAAACAAAAACTGAGCTATACACGATACATGTGAGTGAAGATGTTGCATTAAAACCCATTATTCTGTATGCTAGCTTAAAAGTTGTTCTAAATGTAACTAACACACACACAAACACACACACACACACACACACACACCCCTACCTATATACACCTGTCTTAAGGACTGGCATTTAATAAACATCTATAATCCCAGCACCGAGAAAGCAGAGGCAGAAGAATCACAAAATCAAGGCCACCATGAGCTATATATAGCAAGAGACTTTGCCTCAAAAATATAAAATTTACTTTAAATATCAAAACTAGCCTAGTTGTTGGTGTATAATCCTAGCACTTGGGAGATCAAGACAGGAGGATCCGAAATTCAAGGTCATCCTCAGTTACTTTGCAAATTTGAGGCAAGGTTGAGCTCTAAGACCCTATCTCAAAAAACCACCACAAAAAAATAAGCAAAAATCCAAACCTGTGTAACTACAAAACTCTTCAAAAAGCAGGTGCAGTTACTTTAATGTTTACCCCTTTATGCTCCATGTTATCATTCCAACATACAAAACTATCTTTGAAATCTAATGCGCTAGTCACTTGCAGCCCATCAGTTCATTGGAGCTACATTTCAGGTGCTAACCAGACACATGTACCCACCTTACTGGACACAGCAATTCTGGTCCTTTGTTCAGCTGTTCTGACCTCCTTTGTTAAATGACTCATCCTTTCCCTGCTTCTTCCTTGAGTGGCTACAGATAGATGTGTAGGAAAGACCAGTTTAAGTGGCTTAATGGGCTCTTGGACTTAAATCTACCTGAAAAACGTATACTGCTTCAAAAATCCATGGTCCATCCCAGTAACAGAAGAGTGAGCTTGTGAATGCTGGAAACAACTGATAAACATGGAGGGAGAATCACTGTAAATTTCATGGTAAGGACTTGATTTAGGCAATTGTCAATGAATGATAAATACCGGGCTAGAATTTTGATTAAGAGCAGGATACTTACCTTATCGCAAAGCATCTTCTCACATATTGCTTAAACACCCCAAACAGTGAGCAAATCAGGTATCACAACAGGAAGCACATGGGTACTGCACACCCTCAAGACGGAGGAAGTATGTACACATGGGCACATTGAGTAGAATGTTAGTCACAGCAGGTCTGGGTAAGGAGTGCACGTATATCCTTTATACTCTTTTATTTTTGTGCCTTTCCTGCACTTTCAACTTTAGAATAGGGAGACAGACCTCCCACTGGTTCACTTACACAAAAGAAACTGAAGAGATTGAGTACTAGGATGTAGCACAGGAAAAGCTCTCAATGATAACAGAACAAAACAGGCTGATAGGTCTGTACTTGCAGTGGAGTTAGGAAAACACATTTAGACTGTTTTACCAGAAGAAAATTTAGTTCAGCTTAGCAGAGGGAAGCACCTAAATAGGAAGTGTGAGGATCCTTATAGGTGATGAGGCCATCTGATCAGTTCTCTTTAAGCCAGCAGTTCTCAACCTCCCTAACACTGCTACCTTTTCATACAGTTCTCGTGTTATAGTGACTCCCAACCATAAACGTATTTTGTTGCTACTTCATAACTAATTTTGCTACTGTTATGAATTATAATGTAAATGTATGTATAGGATATCTGATATCCTATACATACATTTACATTATAAATTTAATAAATAAATAAATGTGGCTCATAACCCACAGACTGAGAACCACTGCTCTAAGGCTTTGTGAGTGAAAGTGATTTGAGTCTTCTCCCAGGTAAAGGGAACAGGCTTTTCTCCACATGTTCCAAGAATCCCATATAAAAAAAGCTACAGCAGGGATGGTACCTGGATCTCAGACTCACTGCATGGATGAGAATGTCTCTGTCACTAACACTCAAGGAAGCAGCTCCACAATTACAAAACAACAAACTATAAAATGAATGAATAAATAAATACTTTATTATGGTAAGCCTCTGATTTGGGGGTTACACAAATTGCCTCTTCAAACATTGACAGAAAGAGACACCTTTCTGTATCTGCAGGGCAGTTAAATTTATGGTAAGGCAACAGAAACAATGCTGTAATCTGAAATTAAAGCAAAACCACAAGATCACCTATGTAGGCCACGTTTGGTTCTCTTAGCTCAGATACAGATCATTTCTTCAACCTTTGTTAGTATTTTTAAACCGGTTTTGATCATACCCCCTAATAAATACATTTAACATGATAGCCAGGTCTCAGATACACAGCTGAGAAGTTTCACAAAACAACACTTGCCTTTACTACATGATGCGTTCTGACCTACTTTATTCTATTGCATTGCTTTGTAATGCCAGTGGCCATCCACTGACTGGATTTCACAATTCACTAATGGGCTGAAACCCAGAGTCCAAAATCAGCATTTTTTTTTTTGTGATCTTTGTAAGTAACTCCATATATTAAGAGACATGTGGCTTGAACTCACAGTTTTTGTTCTTGAGGATTCAGAAGTAAACCTGACATCACATATTTATAGAAAGGCCAAACAGATGGCAAGAATTATGTGTGAACAAACAGGGAGCTCAAGGAGAAGCAACTGAGGCAAGGGGGGCTCAAGAAAGCGCTAACAGATCAAATACTTAAAGGCAACTCAACACTTTGTACCATGTCAAATGACCAGAGTGTGTGTGGTATTAAGAGACTGCGGAAATGGAGTTTCCCCTCACGGCTGATGGCTTACAGGATAGGACATAGCCTAAGGTGTATTTCTAAGAGGAGGGCTTCTTGCAGCCATGCCCATTTCCAGTTGCTTCCAGCACATTAGCGTCCAGAAAGAGATACAGATATGCCCATAGATACCACAGGAAGCCACTATCACACATGAGCCTTAAGATCACTCATGCTTAAGATCACTGTCATGTCACAGGACACTCACAGCAGAGTTGCTCATCCTTACACCTGAGGTTGTATAGGGAAAACCACCCACACTAGGAACTGTCAATCCTCTCAAGCTTTGTTTGTGGCAGACAGGGGCTCTGGGCGTGGCTTTTCTTTTTTTGTATGTGACTTGACCACAGCCAAGTTGAACAGGAAGGGTTCCTAGCAGTCCTAGCTCACCTAGCATGTCTTAGTGCTGTGGTTCTTGTGATGCTCCAGAAGGTTCGAGATCCATGCAAAGGCCTCCCCACATTCACTACATGTGTAGGGCTTTCCTTGGGATGCATCAAACTCATCAGTTGCAGGACATCCCGCAGCAGAAGTTCCTGGGTCCTGCCCAGAATCATGGCCATACACATGAAGCACCTTCCCGGCATCAGATGGCACTTTGTAGCTGGTGGAGCTGGAAGGACACTCAGGGTCCTCTTCATCCTCATCATCTGGATGACGCCTCTTTGTCCCAGTGCCTTGATGTGGGGTATCCTTGTCCTGGGCTGACTGCTGGATGACTGATTGCCTCTGGGGACTGGCAGGACTTGGATCCTCATCCTCAGCATCCAGAGCCTTCTGAGGTTGCTGTTCCTCCTCCTGGGCAGTATCTATTGCAGGGCTAACAGGAACATCCCTTGAAAGCCTCTCCATCACTGTCTTCCCCATGGAGACTTCCTCGCACACATTTCCTTTGCTTTCCTGCTGCCCGATGCTATCTGAAACAAAGTCAAAATGTGAGCAGTGCTATTTCCCAGGCTCTGAGACAGAAACTGACTTGAGCAGAAATCAAGACAATAAATAAAGTGTGAAGCCCAAAGGGCTGAGCATAGGTTAAATAGCATCGGGTAAGAACAGTGACATGCACAGCCTAACCCTCTTTACAGCTCAGACATCACATAGCAGCTGAGTTTAGTATCACAAGCCTCACAAGACCCATTATCTGTTCTTCCCCCTCCCAATCTGCATGCCCTTCTTTAACAGTCGGAATGTCTGCTGAGCTCACTACTGAGCATTATGCCTAGGGTGTTTGGAGGTCAAGGTGGCCATGTGACTCTATTCTGTTCAGAAATTCAAATGGTGAGGAGGAGCCTCCTTCCTGCTGTGGTGAATTAAGATCTGCAGCAGCTTTTCTGACTGAGGTGACTTGGCAATGGAGGGTACAAAGAACTATGAGAGGGTTCAGGGGACATGTCTGTCACCAGTAAGTACCAAATGAGTCTTGGTAAGCCGTCCAGTTATACCCATGGCCCTCAATGAACCACCATAGTCTCTGGCTTGGCCCTGGAGTCAACCATGGCCAATGGAACAGTGGCATGCACGTGTAACATGCAGAGGTGTGATATGTGCTTACCCTCTGGGATTCTCCCCATGAAACCCAGCAGCATCTGTGAGAAAGCCAGAGCCAGCCCTTTGGAGAGGTAACAAGAAAAACTGAGGTCCACAGCCTGAACTGAGTTCCATGGAGAGCCAGTGTCATCTGGACCGTGTGTGGGAGACCATTGGGACATTTGAGCCCTAGATAGGCCTCTGGATGGCAGTGGCTTTGTGTGTGACCCTCAGCATCACCAAAAAGGAGAAGGGCTAGTTGAGCTCAGTCAGTTGATAGATCACAAATGTATAGTCTTTTGGGTGACATGTTTTAGAGGAGTTCAGTGTGCAGCAAGAAATAATCAAATGGTATTTTGTCCCGACACAGTGGATAGGAAAATAAGGCTAATCAAAGTGTGAGGAGCCCCATCAGCCTTAAAAGAGAGTTTGTACCCTTTATCCCCCCACGAGGCCCTATCTATAACCACCTAATTTGACCTCACCTGGGAGGCTGCCTCCTGGCAGTTCTTCCACCGCACAAGGTTCCTCTGATTCCTCTGTCTTCAGCGTGGAGGATGGACCAGCCTGGAAAAACTGACACCCTGAGGTTTAGAGAGAAAAAAAGTAGAGGAAGCACAAACAAAGCTAAGAGGCCTCATGTCCTATTGGGTCTCTGAGACCCAGACTGCAACTACCTTTTTCTCTGCATTAAGACAATTCCTATCCATCTGCCCACCCCCATCCCCCAACACCACCACCACCAAAGCTAACCTCTAGTCAGAGCCCCTGGAAAGCTGAGGTTTCTAACGAAGGTAGCAGAGGCAAAGAAGAAGATCTTATGTGAGGCTAGAAGCTGCCTATGAGCAGGTAGGAAATGGGGAATGTACAGAGAGCAATGTTGAACACATAGCATAAAATGGGCTCAGTAGCAGGGCACATGCCAAGCATTTGTGAGATCTTGGATCAATCCTCAGTACTAATAAAACTAAAATACAGAATGAGAACTAAAAAAGGCCTCAAAAGTCTACATATGAGCCTCCCTATGAAGAACTTCAGTAAAAGATCATTCCTCAGGCACAGCTCTGCACCAACAAGGTGGGAATGCTAGAGTGTTGGAGCCAGAAGGCCTTTCTGGATCTAAACACTTCAGTTCTCATAGGCCAAGGCTGCAAACAAAGCCCCAGAGTCCAGATAGAACTCAAAAGTGTAGAACAGGACAAATGGAAAACTTGGCAAACAAATCCTAACTCAAAGACACTTAAAACATGTTCTGCTCCAAACAACTTAAATCACCCTTGGTATCCCAACTACAGTTCCTGGGACAGGGTCAGAATCTTCCATGCCAACAGTTCTGGAAGAAGATGCAGGGTAGAACGTGAGCCAGTGGGAGGTGGGTCTCACCCCACAGGAGAAGCTTGCTGTAACTGGTCAGGTTATCCTCTCTGGGGTCCAGGTGGTCCCATTCTGACTGTAGAGGCTCCTGTGGAAATGATAATGGCTTCTCAAACAGTAGCTCTGACCCAACCCAAGTTATACTGAAGCAATGCCCTTCCTTAAGTTCTACCCTTGAGTTTCCAAAAGGGCAGCTTTCTTAGCCAAAGCATTATAGATGTCTGGGTTCCTAATCCTTTGCTGTGATAGAGTATTAATATTGAGAGAAGGAGCAACAGTCGGAAGGGAAAGTCCATGTGAGTGGCCTGACAAGATCAGCCTCCCAGGGCCAGCAGTGACTCCTTTACCACCTTTGTTTCAGCTGTGGCAGGGTTGGCCTCCTCCTCCTTTTCTCCTTCTGTATGCTCTTCATCAAGGTGCACAGATTCCAGAGTAGGCCAGGCTGGAAGAAGGGGAGCTGAGGAGACAAGTTTTCAGTGGCTGTGTATCTCCAAACTAAGCATATCCCACTACCTCCCACATAGGCCCCAAGACAAATATAGAAAGGCTTCCCCCTGTACATGTCACAGGTCCCAAAGCTCAGTGAACAATGCACTTGTCTGCAATTGACAGAGCAGGGTGGACACAAAAATAAAAAATAGTGACAGCCGGGTAGTGGTCGCAGTAGCGGACACCTTTAATCCCAGCACTCAGGAGACAGAGGCAGGAAGATCTCTTGAGTTTGAGGCCAGCCTGGTCTACAGAGTGAGTGCCAGAGCAACCAGGGCTACACAGAGAAATCCTGTCTTGAAGAAAAAAAAAAAAAAAAGACAGACATTGAAGCTCATCAGTGACCCTAGAAATGCCAATTCAGATCACAAAGGAAGGACTTTTTTTGTGCCAACTAGTTTGGTAGAAATGTTAAACAACACACAGGGCAATTGGGCACCCTCCTATGCTGGCTTTAAATGTATCACAAAGGTTTTGGATAATCACATGAATGTTAAAGTGTACATGCCCTCCATCCAGTGGTTGCTAGAAAACCATGCTACACATGCTAGAGTGCCCACAGTAAGGCCATGCTACTGTAGTCCATTTTTAAAATGCAAAACAGAAAGGCTGAGTATATGGAATGCTGAGCAGCTGAGGAGCCAAAAGTTTGACCACAGCTGCCCTATTTGAATAACAAATGAGAGGGCACAAGTCTACCATGGTCCTACAGACCTTCTGTACATGTGTGATATGGAGAAAGACATGACAGGACATCCTCCAAGATGGGGTAAGGAGAAAAAAAATTTTTGGCAGTACTGAGGTTTTAACTCAGAGCCTCATGCTGCTAATGGGCATCCTCCTATGCTGTCATTGAATTATATCTACAATGAAATTATTTCTTGGTTGATAACCATGTAAGGCTGACAAAATTTGCAAGACAAATTGAGCAAAAAATAAAAAATAACACATCTACCATATGCAATGATCTACAGAAACAAGTCCCAACTGCAGTAGACATCCATGCCTTGCTATCTGACCTCGCCCTGGCTTTCATGCTGCCTCTACCACATCCTCCCTTCCCCAACCACAGACTCCCTTCCATCGCCTCAATGAAGGCCAGCCGAGGCTAGAGGACTGCTGCTACTTACAAGTATCACGGCGTACAAGGATGTCCCTAGGTCTTAGGTTTCTGCTGGGACTCAACAACCCACGAGGTAGCAGCAAGGGCTCAGGACACCTCTCATAGTCTCCCTCGCTGAATGAAGATGATGACCCACCCGGGGAACACAACATCATTCCTGTGTACAATCGAGGCAATAGTGACTCCAATAGGCTGAGACACATGCTAACAACCATACAGCATAACAACCATACAATGTGCCAGGTATGGACCCAAGGTATGACCCAAACCCTAGGCTCCCAGACACCATCACCACCCATCTTTCAGGCCCCACCCTTAGACATGGAGGAAACCTCCAGCTACCAATGCACCCAGAATATTTACCTAGTTTTTAAGAGCCTGGTACCTGCCTTTGATTGCCCTCCATTTCTCCTCCTCCCTAACATCTGGAAAGCAAATGTGAGGGCAGGAACCCAAGGCAGCTGTCCTAGTCCATGAAGCAAGCCTCATGGAGATGCCACTGGGCAGAGAGGTGGGGGCTCAGATCCCTGGTGACTGAGGAGCTCCCTTACCAGCTCAGGGACGGTTGTTTCTGCGCCCCTTAACACATGGGGTGACTACACTCTCAGGAAAGCCACAGCTGGAGTCTGAACTCTATGTTGCAGATTCCAATCCTTCCAGGACCTCCTGCCCGTCTCCTCTAAGGCATGCTTTCTTCTGGGGTAGCAGCCTCACCTGGCTCCTCCAGGATGTCAGAGAGACCCTCCACCAGGGAGGCAGCCTTCTTGCAGTTCTCAGGATACTGGGCTACCACCCAGGGACGAACCCTGTCTGGCAAGATGCCCAGGAACTGCTCCAGAACCAGCAGCTCCAGGATCTGCTCTTTGGAGCAGGCCTCGGGCCGTAGCCACTGGCGGCATAGCTCATGAAGTCTGGCCAGAGTCTGGTGAGGCCCAGCTGCCTCCTGGTAGACAAACTCCCGAAAGCGCAAGCGGGAAAACTCAAGGTCAGCAGCAGATCTCTCAGTGATGGTTTCTATTTCCTTCTGTTGGCTGGATTCTTCCTGTTGGTTGGGTTGATCCTTTTGGCTAGGCCCTTCCTGTTGGCTGAGTTCTTCCTGCTGACTAGGTTCTTCCTGTTGGCTGGGTTCTTCCTGTTGGCTAGGTTCTTCCTGTTGGCTGGGTTCTTCCTGTTGGCTGGGTTCTTCCTGTTGGCTGGATTCCTCCTGCTGGTTGGGTTCCTCCTGTTTGCTGGGCCCTACCTGCTGGATGGGCTTCTCTTGCTGAATGAATTCTTCCATTTGGATGGACTTATCCTGCTGAATAGACTCTTGCTGGATCAGTTCCTGCTGAATGGGCTCCTCTTGCTGGATGAGTTCCTGTTGGATAGAAGCATCATGCTGAATGGGCTCCTCCTGCGGAATGAATTCTTCCTTTTGGATTGACTTATCCTGCTGAATAGACTCCTGCTGAATCAGTTCCTGCTGAATGGGCTCCTCCTGCTGGATAAGTTCCTGTTGGATGGAAGCATTCTGGTAGATGGGCTCCTCCTGGTGGATGAGTTCTTCCTGTGGGATGGACTTATCCTGCTGAATGGATTCTTCCTGCTGGTTCAGTTCTTCCTGTTGGGTAGGCTTATCCTGCTGAATTGGCTCTTGCTGGATGAGTTCTTCCTGTTGGATGAGTTCTTCCTGTTGGATGAGTTCTTCCTGTTGGAGAAGTTCCTCCTGCTGAATGAGTTCTTCCTGTTGGAGAAGTTCCTCCTGCTGAATGAGTTCTTCCTGTTGGAGAAGTTCCTCCTGGTGGATGAGTATTTCCTGTTGGGTGGGCTTATCCTGCTGAACTGGCTCCTGGTGGATGAGTTCTTCCTGTTGGATGGGTTTGTTCTGCTGAATGGGTTCTTCCTGCTGCATGGGCTCCTCCTGCTGAATGGGTTCATCTTGCTGCATGGGTTCTTCCCACTGGTGAGGCTCATCCTGCTGCATAGGTTCTTCCTGCTGCATGGGTACATCCTTCTGGCCAGGTTCTTCCTCCTGACTAGGCTCATCCCGCTGACTGGGTTCTTGTTGCTCACTGAGTTCTTCCCTCTGGTTGGGAGGATTATCCTGCAGACTGGATCCCTCTCCCTGGTTGGGCTCATCCCTCTGACTAGGTTCTAGCAGCTGAATGGGTTCTTCTTCCTGGATGGGTTCATCCCGCCTCCTGGGTTCCTCCTGCTGGCTTGGTTCTTGTTGCTTAATGAGTACTTCCCTCTCGTTGGGTTCTTCTTGCTGGCTGGGCTCTTCCTGTTGGGATCTATCTTCTGACTGCAAAGTAGGTGGTTCTGGGTGGGGTAGGGAGCTTCTGGGGGAGGCCAGTGCCCTCTCCAAAGGCAGCATCTTCCCAGGCCTCCACAGAAATGCAACTGTGTCTAGCCAAGAACTCAGTGGAGACAGCAAGGATAACGAGGTACCCAGGAGAGGTCAGCAATACCAGGACCTGAGGAAAAGCAGAGGACATCAACAAAACAAATGCCCACATAGTGAGACCTCAGCCATGGCACACTCAGGCAAAGGAGAATGTAGGAGGGTGTCTGAGCACAACCATGTACCCACAATACCCAGGTCTCATACAGAATTATTTCTAAGCAATCTGCTCGCTACTGTCAGTGGAATTCCAGCTTTTTATTTATACAGATAAAAATTAAAGTAAGAATAGGGAAGGGCAACTTTATATAAGATGGTAATAATAGGATTTTTTTATCATGAATATGAATATGAAAATTTTCAGGACAATTTTCAATTATAAACCTAGATGAATATACCATACAATATCAGTAAATTCATTCTTACTAGGTATATTGTATATATGATGTAGGTCACATCACAATAGACTGGATTTATCCCCAAAATACAATGTCAGTTTAACATCTAAGTATGTATTATTAGGACTTTAGTTCTCCAAAACAAAAAGGTCTAGGTGCAGCATTGTCCTTCCCATGAAAACAATTATAACTCGGGGCTGGGGAGATGGCTCAGTAGTTAAGAACACTTGTTGCTCTTGCAGAGGACCCAGACTGGATTCCCAGCACCTACATGGTGGCTCACAACCATCTGTAATCACAGTTCCAGGGCATCCGATGCCTTCTTCTGACCTCTGAGGACACCAGGCATGCATGTGCCACAGACATGAAGACAAAACACTGCCATACATAAAATAAAGAAGCCTAACACACACACACACACACACACACACACACACACACACACAGAGAGAGAGAAAGAGAAAAAGCATTTTTTCTTCTACAATTTTGAGGGATTCAAAATAAAATCTGTCCATGACCATAGCTAACACCATCAACAACATGACCACTGTCTCCCTACCTAATCCAGCTTACCCTACAAGCACCACACTTCTTACAGGACTGGATTCTGAAGTGGTTCCTCAAAGTCCATATGCCCTGCATGTCCTCTCACACACACTTGATCATACTACTTCACACTACTTTATATCTCCATACTGTCTGTCTCCCACATTGAAATCTGAGCTAGGCGAGCAGGCTTATTATTTATAGACAGGCCACTATGGGCCCAGCAGTTTGGGCTTATGTATTTGTTCACTATGCCTTTTATAAAATGCATTTCTTTGTTGAAGGGCATGTTATATATGCCTAATGGCCAATAAGAATCTCATACCCATCTACCTGGGGTCAAGTTTAGGACCTATTTGAAGGATAAATGGAGAAAAAGAACACCCCAGCTACAGGGACAACCTCACCCCTACCACCTACAATGGCAGCACCCATTCCTTTATCTACACTGAGGATCCTCAGATCACAACACCCACCCAATACAGCTTAGCATTTTCTTATAACTTCTTTATCTCTGAGAGTGGGTAAACTGCCTGCTTTCCTTACAGGTGTCAGGTAAGAGCTCTCTGTCTGGCTCCATCTTGTCATCATCCATCCCTATCTGCATTTTCTGGTCACTTCATCTGCCATTTTTTTTAAAACCCGTGTTTCAACCACTTAATATTCTAATGATTCTTCTTGTCAAGTTCAACTACTTTAAAAATAAATTTCTGGTTTCCAAAACCTGCTAAACTTTGGGTTTCGTCCCTACCTCAAATTTAAAAACATTCTCTCATTCATTCTCTTAGAACAAAGGTAGCTAATGTAAGGCCTTGGATAACAGTGTAAGCCCTTGAGGTTGTCTTGATGGTGACTACTCACCTCTGTACCTTTAAAAGAATACAAAAGTGCACACAAGGGATCATTATTAAATAGTTGCTTTCTGTGACCCCTGCCAAGAATATATTTTGTATTTTCATATAAGGTCACACAGAGTCAAACAGATGTCCTAAATAAACTGGCCTGGGTTTAAAAAAAAAAAAAAAAAAAAAGCCACAAGATCACAGACCCAAACATCAGGAGAAACAGGGCTCACTGAAATATGGGGCCCTGTTCAGGCTCTAGAGCAGCAAAGGGAACTTCCATAGGACATTATTGGAATGTGGAAGAATGACCTTGTAGCATCCAATGTGGCCTCCAAAAAGCTGGCCGAGATACAAACCAACATAAGACAGGTCTAAGAGAAGAGGATTGGGCATGGAGGCAGTGGTGGAATACGAAGCAAGAGGCGCTTGGCGGTGGTGGCGCTCGCCTTTAATCCCAGCACTTGGGAGGCAGAGGCAGGTGGATCTCTGTGAGTTCGAGGCCAGCCTGGGTACACAAGGCGTTCCAGGACAGCCAACCAGGACGGTTACAAAGAGAAACCCTGTCTCAAAAAACCTAAATAAATAAATAAATAAAGCAAGAGGCAAGGAAAGGGACAAAACACTAACAAGTAGACTCTGGACACAGGGTAGGAAGGACTTCTATGACCTTAGAATTGTTCTATGTAAAAGCCAACCCTCAGCACCCCTTACCTGCCCCTTCATAGGTAACACTAGGAAAACTAATCTTTTCTATTCAAACCCTCCAGGTCAGGACAACACCTAAGAGACACCCCTCTGTCATAAATGGAGCTCCTGGACAGAGGCCCAGAAGTGTCCTCTGCCCCCTTAACAGAGAGGATCCCTGCACTCTAAAGCCCGCTGTTACCCCTCAGTCTAGTTCTATGTAAAACCGCCCCCCTCCCCAACTTTCCCGTACTCATCCCACCCGATGTACCTACAGATACCTTCAATCCTGCCTCTCCAGGACACAAAACAGGGATCCCCAAGTCCTCCCCTGGCCTTTATACATACTATCTTTCATCTTTCCCTCTGTGGACTTCCCATCCCTACCAGAACCTGCACATAGTGGCGTCCACCCACACTCTCGTCCCTTCCTCTGCTGCAGTCTGCCACCCTGAAGGGTCCCCTGGACTCTACCCTAATCTACATCTAAGCAGCTGTGGCACTGTGCCCTCTGTCCACCGCACAGGTAAAAACCACACCCCTAACCCTAGCCCAGCCCTCGTGTCCCCCAGATAGCCCTTCCCAACACAACACAAGCGAACTGCATTTCCGCGCCACAATCCCACATGTGGCACTCCCACGCACACATTAGAACCACACCCCCGATCCTGCCACACCATGCCCGCCCCGCACTCTGCACCTCGCGTCGCTAAGTTCGCCTACAGCGTTCCAGGGCCACACCCCCAACCCAAAAGCCTTAAAGCCTACTTCACATTTCCACACGTGGGAACCATCAGTCCTACCCTCTCCGCCCCAAATTCAAGCACCACTGCCCAGGCCACATCCCCATGAAAGTGCCTTGGCGTTTCAATCCCCTCCAGGGCACAGCACCTGGAGCCCCACTCCCAAGGTGGGACCCAAGGTCTCTGCTCCTGGCCCAGCCCACACAAGGCAGGCCCATCGCTCCGCCGGTCCCTCTACACTAGCCGAACGCCTACCGCCCCACGTAGAAGAGCGCCGGGAGGCCCGACCCACCTGCTGCGCAGCGATGCCCCACGGGCTCCCGCAGTCTCGAACACGGAGAGGTGATGGCGGCCCACTGCAGTACGCGTGCGCGGCCTGCAGCGCCGGAAACCGCGACCCCCAGCACGCCGCGGGGCCGTTCGCCAGACCTGGGCGGGGCGAAGCTGCTCTGACAGCATCGCCAGTCTATCAGAGGGAAGGCTGGCTCCCCTTCGCCGCCACGTGCGCCTGCGTCACTTCCGATGCCATGACAACGGAGTAAACAAACAAACCTGAATTTTAAAAAAAAAGTCTAGGACCACCAGAACCTGAGAGGCGGAGACTAAGACCGGAAAATACCAGCTTAAGAAACAAAAACACGGCACCATGAGACCCAAAGACAGTGGAGACGGAGTCTAGAAATCCAGAGATGAGACACAGAGAAACTGAAATGAGGAGACCTACAGACACAAAAATGGGGACCCAGCACAAATTGGGGACTCGAGATCCTGCGCAGTCAAGAGACAAGTAGCACACCCAGTATGGGCAAACAGAGTTAAATACCCACTGTAGGAGAAACTCAGAGTTAAATACCCACTGTAGGAGAAACACTCTGAGGCCGGGATTGAGGGATGGAGCGAAGGCACTGAGATCAGAGACACTGACTGGGTGAAAACAGTTAAAGTTCCAGAGAGCAAACTGATTTCCAACACCTTGCCAAATCCTTGCTATCTCTACACTGAGCAACCAAAGAAGTTGGGGCTAGACTCCTGCAGAGATGGGAAGGAAGCTGCTTTCCACAGCAGAGCTTCTGAACGTCATTTTGGTTGTCTGGAATGGTTTTTGAAATGTATAGCTGAACAACTTAGCACTGAATAGATTTCATTTCTTTTTCCATTCTGACCATTTTAAGTTCTATCACAATCAGAATGGTTCACTCCTCCATTTTAACAATCACACCCTCCATCATCTGCGACCCCTGATGTGCGGTCCCTCAGTGCAGGTTTGTCCCTACAGATTTCATATAAATGTAAACCTATGGCCTTTTGACATACTCTTTCACTGTACGTAATTCCTTTGAGATCCATTAATATGTGTAAATAGTTTGTTCCTCGTTATTGTTTAGAATTCAATAATATACAAGTTTAAACATTCACCAGTTGGGCTTTAGGCTTGCCTCCAAACTTTTGATATTTAAAAAACGCTATGAAAATTCATGTTCAGGTTTTTGTGTGAACATTACTTACTTTTGAAAGAAGATAAATGCCCATGATGCAGTTGCTCTGCACAAAGTAAGCATATGCTTAATGTTAAAAACTAAACAAACCAATGAAATCTGCCATATCCTTTTCTAGAGCTGTGCCATTTTACACTCCCACCACCAGCGTATGTATGAATCCATTTTTCTGAAATCTTGCCAGTATTTGTTGGTTGTCAGTCTTAGCTGTTCTGAGTATGATGATATTGTGGTTTAGTTTCTTTCCATTTCCCTAATGGCCAATATGGTTGAGCATATTTTCAGGGTTATTTGCCATCCATATATCCTCTTAAGTATCTGTTCATGTGTCTCACCAATTTTCTAGTTTTTAAATGAATTTTGAGTTTCAAGAGATCTTTATAATATTTTTACCTATAAACTGTCCTATAAGAGTTTGCAAACCCTTTCTCCAGTATATTGCTTTTTATGTCCTTACCACGCCCTTACCAAAGGATTTTAAATTAGATATGTAATTCATGAATATATCCTTTTATGGACCATGTTCTTAGTATCAAGTTTAACAACTTTATGCTGAGTCCTAAGCCTTGAATGTTTGCTCCTATATTATTCCTGAATGTTTTATAGTTTTACCTGTTATATTTAAGTCATCATCAATTTTGAGTTATTTTTGTACATTGTGAAATTTATATTGAAGTTCATCCCCACACCCAACCATGGATGTTGGGATCTTTTCTTCTGACTACTCACCTTCCCAACACCAACCATCTCTTCAAAGCTAACTAGGTATCCATATTCCCATCCAGTTCTGACACTACTCAGAACTAATGCAATTAAACTAAGGGCTTGGTTCCACCTTAAACACCAATACTCACACTTTGCCAGACTATGTCCCCATCCCTCAATTTGCTAGAATAGTTCACAGAAGAGAAACACACTTTGCCTCTGATAACTGGTTTACTGTGAAGGATAAAAAGTTAGGCACAGCCCAATGAAATCAATATGGTGGTCAAGGTATGAATGGGAGAGAGAAAGATGGCGGACCACCCGACCAGCACACACACTCTTGCCAAACCAACAGGGATTTTGTTTGTTTGTTTCTGTTTTTAAGCTGAAAGGACTTCAAGTTTTCATCTCTTAATACTCCGGTGACCAGGCCCTTTACTGATGAAATCTAGGGACTCTATCCTGAGTTCTGTCAACATAAAGTGTGGTTGAAAGGGGTTCTTAATGAACAAATAACACTCTTACCAAGAAACTCCAAGATTTAGCTCTGTGCCAGCAACCAGGGACAAAAATCAAATGCATTTTATATGATAGATGTAAACTGCTCTAGCACCATTTGTTGAGAAGCTTAGCCTATCTCCATTGAATAGCTTTTTGCATCTTAAAAAAAAATATGTTTGAAGTTCCTTTGTGGGTCTATTCCTGCCTCCATTCTGTTCCAGTGCCACACTTTTCTGATCATTATAACTACAGAATAAGAACACTAGGGAGCATTCATCCTCTTGTTTTTTATTTTTCAAAATAGTCTTAGTGAAGCCTTATGCTTTGCCATAAAAACTGTAGAGTAAGTTTATCTAAGTTTACCAAAACAAACAAAACAACCCACCTTGATGGGCCAAACATTGTAACACATGTCTGTTAGCCCAGGTCATGGGACTGGTGTGGCATTTTGAGTTAACAGCCAGCCTGGGTTACAAAGTTAGACTGTTCCTAACCCCCTCAGACCAACCAGCCAAACAAACAAACAAAACAACCTTGCTAAAAATTTCTGGAGAATTTCACTTTTCTTTCCCCCTAGTTATAGTTCCTTGGAGTTTCTAGTGTAATATTCAGTAATGGCGATAACAGGAGACAGCAATGAATCTTCACCATCAGTTATGCTAAGTTATTTGCATATGCCCTTTCTTTTTTTTGTTTTTTTTTTTTTGTTGTTGTTGTTGTTTTGGTTTTTCGAGACAGGGTTTCTCTGTGCAGCTTTGCCCTTTCTAAGTAAAGAATTACCCCTTTACTCATAACATCATGGAAGTTTTGTTAAGTGCTTTCTGCGTATAACGATAAAGTCTGTGGATGGGATAGATTATAATAACTTTCAAATCCAGAGCCAGTCTTGCACTGTGAGGATGAACTCCTCTGTTAGTCTGCATTGTTCTCATCTACCACAGCTTTTTTTTTTTAAGATTTATTTATTACGTATACAGAGTTCTGCCTGCATGTATCCCTATAGGGCAGAAGAAGGCACCAGATGTCATTACAGATGGTTGTGAACCACCATGTGGTTGCTGGGAATTGAACTCAGGACCTCTGGGAGAGCATCCAGTGCTCTTAACCCCTGAGCCATCTCTCCAGCCCCTACTGCAAGCTTTTATGTAGTAATAGTTTTTTTGTTTGTTTGTTTGTTTTTAGTTTTTGGTTTTTGGAGACAGAGTTTCTCTGTGTAGCTTTGTGCCTTTCCTGGAATTCACTCTGTAGCCCAGGCTGGCCTCGAACTCACAGAGATCTGCCTGCCTCTGCCTCCCAAGTGCTGGGATTAAAGGCGTGCACCACCACCGCCCGCTCTTAGTAATAGTTTTGAGAATGTTGGAAGCATCTATTCCTGCCTTCATTCTGTTCCATTATGCATATGCTTTGCCACATAAGTTTTAGAAAAAGTTTGTGTAAGTTCACAAATGAACAAAAACAGCTTGATATGTGTATAATCATAAGGCATATTAGTTTGCAGTTTTCTTGTACTCTCTTTGGTATTAGTACCCAGGTAGTAGAGACTTCATAGTGAATTGGGAGGGCTCTGCTCTATGGACAGGGTTAGTACCTTTATAAAAACAGATTTCGGGAGCTTGCTGGCTTCTTCCACAGTGTGGACACGGCAAGAAGGCACTGTTTTTAAGGAACAGACTGTCATGGTATTATGGCTGGACCTACTGATGCCTTCATCTTGGAATTCCCAGCCTCGAGAATTATAATTTCTATTGTTTACAAATTACCTAGATTATAGCCATTTTGTTAAAGCAGCCTGAACAGACTAAAAACTATGCCTTATCCTCAATGTCTGCTGATCTGTAGTGATACCTCTTTCATTCCTGATGTTGGTAACTTGTATTGTGGTCCAACTAACTATAAGTTTGTCAATTTTATTATATTTCAGTTACATACTGACAACAATTAAGAACATAATTAGCTGAATTAGCCAGGTTCTAGTTGACTCACTTATCTGATTATCATCTCCTGGATCCTTCTCATGGTACATTTTTTTAAGATGTATTCATTTATCACATATATAGTATGCCTGTACACCAGAGGAAGACTCTAGATCTCATTACAGATGGTTGTGAGCCATCATGTGGTTGTAGGGAATTGAACTCAGGACCTCTGGAAGAGCAGCCAGTGCTTTTAACCCCTGAGCCATCTCTCCAGCCCCCCTCATGGTAGATTTCTATCTTATTTCATAATCTATAGAAAGTGGGATAGCAAGTTCCTAGTTAACTCTTTTACATTATAGCAACAGGTATAAGACTAACAAGGAAAAGGCCTCTCACTCCGTATCTCAACTGGTCCCTCGGTTGAGTTGGCTCCTCCCTTCCCTGCTGGTGACTTGTTATTCTTAAATCCACATTGCCCATTGCATTATCAAACTAACAACTCACTTCCTCTCTTCTAGATTTGGGCAAATTAAACTTGATGGCTTTACAAATGAAAAACGCCTGAAAATAGCTCCCAGTTTCTACCATGGGTCTCTCCATCCACCTTCCCAACCACTAGCCTTTTCTGTTGTGTCCAGGCAGCAGAAAGCAGATTGACTGTTTCCATCAGGGATCCCTCTCTGGAAGAAGGAATTAAAACAGGAGATAGACTCCCCTCAGGAATTAAGAGCCTTCGAGATATCCTGGGAGAGTGGGGAGAGGAACTATGACATGGAGTAGAGGTCCTTGTTGGCTAAATTAGTAATTAAGAGCCTGCACAGACCCAGGTTTTGACTGCTGTGGGTACCATACACACCATGATGGATAAGAACTGGACATCGTGCTCCTTCCTACCCCAACCTGCGCTACCACCCTGAAGGATATACACCCAATGGCCAACCAACCAAGATCTCACTTCAGTAACCAGAGCTTAGATACTGTACCTGCTTGGTTTGTTCATCTACAAACATCCCAGTTATCATCACCCACCTGCTAGAGAAGCAAGTGGAGTTTCTAGTACTTTTCACCTCCCGTCTGCCAACTCTGCCCAACCTAGGAGGCCTCCAACCTGTGAGCATCAGCTTTCTCCCAATCCGATTATGTACACCAGAATGTGCGAAGCAAAGCTGTCTATGAACTACCAGAAACAGGTCTCAGAGTCAACAGAAGCATGGAAGGGCTGTTTGCTTCCCTTCTCTTTCAGTCAGAGAAGAGTAAGTAGTATCATCATCATCCTTAATAAAAACTATCAACATCGGTTAACGGCTGTTTGGTCTCGAGGATGTCTGGACACAGCAAGCAGGGCGGCAAGGCTCACGCCAAGGCCAAGACTCGTTCCTCCTGGGCCGGCCTGCAGTTCCCTGTGGGCCACGTGCACCGGCTCCTCCGCAAGGGCAACTACTCTGAGCAGGTGGGCACCGCTGCCCGGGTGTACCTGGCGGCGGTGCTCGAGTCCCCCATTTGTACCTGGCGGCCGTGCTGGAGTACCTGACGGCCGAGATCTTGGAGCGGGCTGACAACGCGGGCCCATGACAACAAGAAGCATCATGCCGGGCCACCTGCAGCTGACCATCCGCAATGAGGAGGAGGAGCTCAACAAGCTGCTGGGCCGCGCTTGACCATTGCGCAGGGCGGCATCCTGACCAACATCCAGGCTGCTGCCCATGGAGATAGAGAGCCACCACAAGGCCAAGGGAAAATAAGTCATTTAAAACAAAACAGTAAAGGCTCTTTTCAGAGCCACCCACACTGTCTTTAAAGAACTGAACATTTTGGATGTGTAACTTTATATGTAATTTCCTCTAGCCAATTGTTGTCTTAAAGTTGACCATTAGATTTTTGAGCCTTACTGTGGGAGGATTCGTTTTCCCCCTCTTGTTCATCGTCGAATAGAATCCGTTAACAGTTAACCCACAGCTTTCCACACCAGAATCAGTGCTTTGGGGTAAATGGGGTTGGAAGAAACTACACTGATGGGCAGAAGAATCAATGTGACAATTTGAACGCCTTTTTGTTGTTTAATATTCCTCCTAAACTTCATAATCCCTTCACACAAGTTTGAAAAATTTAAAATACACTAGTTTTTGCTTTAAAAAGAACTATCAACATCAAAACTAAAAACATCACCATTAGTAACAGTAGGTGTAACAATAAGCTCGGGAATTGCAACATAAGGCACCTGAGAACAACAGATCCGGACTGAACACCATGGTCCCAAAGCAACACATACTTCACCATAGCTCTGTAAGGCAGGACTTACATATACTTTGTGAGGAACTGAAGCCAAGAGGCTAATCCATTTCAGTTCACAACCACATGAGCAGTCCCATGAATAAAATCTAACAAGACAAATATGTGCTTTCATTCATCTTGCCAAGAAATACGTAGACACAGTCCAATATTTCCATACAATTTTTACTTTCGTTTAGTTGAGATTGCAGTTCTTGCATAGGCCCTCTAAAATGGGGATTTCCCATTTAAATGAGCACCTATTTACCAGACTTTTTTGTTGTTTATTTGTTTATTTGTTTTTTTATACATAGAAAGTTCTAAATGCCCACATGGATGTAAGTGTATGTGTACAATACTAATCACAAAATGTACTTCAGTAGAAGCCCCATAAGGACGCAGATGTTCTTTCTAAGCAGTTTGTTAAGCCCTGTGTGGTAACATGCAATCAATCCCAGCACTCACAAGCTGAGACAGGAGGATCAGGAATTCAAGGCCTGTCTTCAAAAGGAAAAAAAATTAATTAGCTGTTAAGAACCTATGCACTCCTCTGTGCAGCTTCCTTCTAATAAATGAACATTTTCAGCTTTCCAATAAAATCTTAAGAATTACATCTGATATGCCAATCATAGGAAGATTACTAATATCCAAGTGGGATGGACTGTATCAAACAGTGGCACACAGACTTAACCATCTTTAGTTCCAATAGATCTGCCAGTGTTGTTACCATTTCAGCAACAGCCCTCTTGAAAGTTCTCAGATAGAGGAATCTTACTAGTCATTCAATTCCTCCTTCTGATGCTACCATTTCATTAGGTGACTGATGGGAAGATGTATGCTGTACATGCTACTAAAAGAAAAGACTTACGATTTAAACCATGATGCTACTGGAAGGTTAAAATATGAAAGGACACACTTAAGAGTAAATGAAATGTAGTTCAGTCCTCAGAGGGCTAACTTCCAGATACCAAAGCCCCATAATTTACAATGGCATTATGCCCCTCTTCTGGCATGATATAGGGATATTTTATTTGTACTGAAACGTGATTTTATTTGTATGTTAATAAATAAAGTTTCCTGGGGATCAGAGCTAATAGCAAGCCATAGCAGAAGCTGGGCGGTGGTGGTGTACGCCTTTAATCCCAGCACTTGGGAGGCAGAGGCAGGCAGATCTCTGTGTGGTCAAGGATACAGCCAGCATGGAAACACACACCTTTAATCTCGATACCAACCATAGAAGACCTGGAAGTCTGTATAGATGGGCAGTGACGAGGAGGTCATGTCGTTGGGTTTACAACCAATGAGAAGGCAGAATAAAAAGTCAGTAAAAATGACAAACACACAGGATGTAAGTCTCTTGCCGAGGAGGACAGCAGTGGCAGTGAAGGGTAAGGTTTTTAGCTCTTAGCTTTTGCTCTGACCTCTTGGGCTTTTAACTTTGCAATTGGCTTTGTGTTTCTTGTTTAATAAGATTGTTCATCTACATGCCCCAGTAGACTTAATGTTCTAGTTGAAAGTATAAATAATAAAATACATTTAAGGTAGGTCTGGTGGTTCATTCTTGAAACACCAGCACTGGAGACACAATGAGACAAGATGACTGCTGTGAATTTGAGACCAGAAGGGCTACATACTGAGTTCCAGGTCAGCTAAGGCAACAGACTTGGTTTCAAAAATCCAAATAAAGCCTAGCGAGATGGCTCAGCCTAGGTAATGGAACCTGCTGCCAAGACAGACAACCAGAGTCTCGTCTCCATAACCCATGTGGTAGAAGGAAAGAACCAGTTCTCACAGTTGCCATCTGACATCCAGATGGGCACAACAGCTTTGTCACGCACAAAACAAATAAATGTAATGAAATAAATGAGGTAAATAAATATAGTAATACACATAAGGGGTTAAGGATGAAGAGTAGGAGAGAGCATGTGTCTATCATGTGTGAATCCCATAAACATCTCCAAAAACAACGCATTTAAAACCATTATAAAGCCTACGAAAACCATTATAGCTTAGCCCAGCCTATCTGAAACACGCCCAGAACATTTACGTTAGCCTCCAGTTGGGCAAAGGCATCAAAGGCAAAGCTGGCTAATAGTAAGTGTTCAATCATTCATTACATGAAATACTGTACTGAAAACATATAGCAGTGCTTTCACATCATGGTACAAGCAATGCATGGTTAGGTCAAACGACTGTAAATCAAGGGGGGTCTACTCACTTGTTAAAAATAGAAATCTACAAAAAAGCTGAGTGTGGATTTATACGGGGACAAATGTCCTACAAGAGTGAGTCTATAGAACTCATTCCCTAATGCACTAGAGTTGTATGTAATGCAGTAGCCACGTCGGTGTAGTAACATGAAACCTTTTCTCTCTCTCCTTTTCTTCCTTCCTTTCTCTAATGTGAATATCAGAGAACCAGAAGCTGCATATGTGGTTCATACTTTATTTTCATCAAATAAAGCAGCTATGGAAGAGCAGCCCTCGGGAGGCTTTCCCCACAGCGCAGGGCGTCTTCTGTTTCTACCGTAAGGGTTTTTAATCTTCATTTTTACTTTATTCACATGTGTGGCACATGCATGAGTGAGTGTGTCTGTGCACTTGAGTGTCTATAGATACCAGAAGACAGAGTTGGATCCCCTGGAGCTGGAACAGAAGTGGTTGTGAGCTGCCCAATGTGAATGCTGGGAACCAAACTCAGGTCCCCTGGAAGAGCAGCAAACATTCTTAACCAATGAGTCATCACTCCAGCCCCACTGAGTTTTCTTAAAACACCAAGAAATGCATCATCTTAACACAGTTCTCTACATTATCCCTCTATGGATTAATTCCAAATGCATTCTTTCAACAGAAGCATTCCAGCAGATATTGCTGGCCCTTAAACTGATTTTGTTAACTGAGTCTACTGATGGGAAAAAAGAGCCAGCCTTCTAAATAAAATGCTTTGCATGATCATTCCACGCCTATGATTTTATTCAGTGGTGCTGAGGATTGAAGTCAGGACTTCACAAATGCTAGGAAAGCCCTCCCTGCCACTTAACTATAAGCATACCCCTAAAAAGCCTATTTATAAACGTTTACATATCAGAAAAATGTAGTGAGAAATAAAGTCTTTCTCTTCTCTCAATTCTGTCACCAGAATTCAAATTTCTCATGGACGTAGGTAAAGCAAAAATTCATCTCTGAAGGTTTTAATTTGTTATGTTTCTAAGGTTCCTTTCCAGTATGTCAGACATTGGCAGAATAATCCTAATTTATTCGAGATACAATGTTTTATGGGCTCTGCTCCACGGACTACAGGGTGAGTTGCTATATTTTCAAACAACTACTCCTGAGTATAAATTCTAATAGTAACTAAAGAGAATGTGACAGTCACTGCCACCCATGTTCACTGAGTCCCCACAGAAATTATTCCAGTGTGACATCTCTGTGTCTAATGTGAGAGGACGATGCAATGGGAAATTGTCCCCTGTTGGACAACCTAGCAAGAGACCTCTTGAGTGTGTAACTCCTGCTCCTTGGTCAGGGAGGGGCTGTTCCTGAAGGCTTTGCCACAGTGATTAAATCCACAAGGCTTCTCAACAGTAGCAGTGTGAATCCTCTGCTGCTTGGAGGAGGCACTCTGTATATGTAGGGTTTCTCTGTGTTAAGAATTTTGGATGCTTTTTTTTTTTAAAGGTAACCACTGCTGTTGAAGGATTTTCCAATTTCATACACTTCACAGTCTTCTCCAGTGTGAATTCTGTGTTTAATAAGGTATGAACCACTAATGAAGGCCTTTCTACACTCAATGCATACATACAGCTTTTGTCCTGTGTGAATTCTCAGATGGACAATAAGGCAGAAGACTCCAAAGGAATATTTTTCACATGTATTACATTTGAACAGCTATTTTCCAGTATGATTTCTATGGTGAAAGACAAGAAAAGAATGGAGACTGAAGGACTTCCCAAACTGGACACATTCATAGGAAGTCTTTCCCATATGGGTCCTTTCATGCTTCATGAAAGCAGACATAGCATTGAAGGCATTTCCATACTTAGTGTAATTTCAAGCTTTCCCAGTTATATGGCTCATCTCCTACATGTATTCTTTGATGAACAACCAGGTTGTAATTCTTGAAGGATTCCCCAGTAATAGATCTCTTTCAACTGAGAATCCTCTGGTGCCCAGTGGAATGAGATTTCTTACTGAAGGAGGATACACATTCACTGCAAGCATAGCATTCATTTCCAAAGGCATTTCTGTAGCACAAATCTTAAAAGGTCTTATTATAAAGAACAAACCTGGAGCCTGGTATTGGGATGAATGCTGGAAGATCAGAGAAGCAGAACAAGCCACAGCTTCCTCACCTTGCCAGTTCCTCAGTTGATCCTGTTTCCTCATACTGGAAGCCTCTGTGTCCTTATCCAAATGGATCTCAGCTGAAATGCTTCTCAAAAGCCTAAAAGCTTAATCAGGCTCTAGTTCCTGGTCCTCATGCCTTATATACCTTTTTGCCATCACTTCCTGGGATTAAAGGCTCTTGTTACCACACCTGGCTGTTTGAACTCACAGAGAACCAAGTGGATCTCTTCCTCGGGAATGCTAGGATTAAAGGCGTGTGCCACCACCGCCCGGTGGCCAGAGGGAATATTTTGAGGTGTCTTAACTATGGCATGAATTGAATTCAATTATTTTTTGTTTTGTTTTGCTTTTTTTTAAAAAAAGATTTATTTATTTATTATGTATACAGCATGTATGACTGCAGGCCAGAAGAGGGCACCAGATGTCAATACAGACGGTTGTGAGCCACCATGTGGTTGCTGGGAATTGAACTCAGGACCTCTGGAAGAGCAGCCAATTCTCTTAACCTCTGAGCCATCTCTCCAGCCCCCCCCCTTTTTTTTTTCCAAACCCAGGGTCTTGCAAGCACTCTACCACTGAGCTAAAGACAATTTCAAGATGGCTAGCTGAGATGATACAGATTCACAGACAACTCGAGCAAGGACTTGAGACAAGCCCTACATTTTCCCATTATGCTCAGACTGGACAGCAAAGGATATAGCTACCTTTCCTAGAATTTGACAATTAACCCAAAATTTTTCTTTTCAGAATAAAGATACCTTCGCCCACAAAAAAAAAAAAAAAAAAAAAAAAAAAAAAAAAAAAAAAAAAAAAAAACCTGCAGGGAACCATGATCACGCCTAAACAGCAACTTCAAAATCTTCAAAAGGATGACAGGACCCCACAACGATGATTCTGGTTGTGGACTATGGTAAAGCCATTAAGCTGATTAACACCAAGGAAAGCTCTGCTTTGGACTACAATTTATGTTTTTCAGTGTATGTTCTTTAATCAAAAACCACCTCACATCTGTCTCTGCATAGCTGCCTTTCTGTGACAACTGCTCCTTGTAGACAGAGGTACACAGAATGATTGCAGAAGGTACCAGTTTGTTTCTGTCCAGCATGCTATCTTTAGAGCCTTTCTGCCAGTGACCATCTAACTGAAATATTTAAGGCTTGCTGATGGCACTCTTCTCTTTTTTTTTTTTTTTTTTTGGTTTTTTGAGACAGGGTTTCTCTGTGTAGCTTTGCGCCTTTCCTGGAACTCGCTTTGGAGACCAGGCTGGCCTCGAACTCACAGAGATCCACCTGCCTCTGCCTCCCAAGTGCTGGGATTAAAGGCGTGCGCCACCACCGCCCGGCAACACTCTTCTCTTATTGGAACTCTTCAACATGATGAGGACTGAGCACACTTAAGCTGTCCCCAGAGCTGTAAAAACTACAGCTTTTCACCTGACCTCAGAGTCTTCTTTGAAGGATGACATCCTGCTCAAATGTCATTCTGAGTGTAGATGGTCTATTTCTACCTGGTCCTCCTCATATTCCCAGATTTCTCTTAATGCAGATAAAAAGAAACCAATCCTGATGAACCTTCCCATGTTTGCAAAATTAAGTAATTATTGAAAAATCATCCTGAGTTGATGCTTCCATTGGACTTTTGTTTCCCAAACTGGGAGTAAAGGGGGAAATATTTGAAACCTTACAGATGAGGGAAAAAGAAAGAAAGAGAGAGACAGAGACAGAGAGAGACCAGCAAAATAAGCAACTAGCTAGGCATCCATAGGTTTGTTTTTTCAGATATGGACCTGCAGGACAGGAAGACATGAAAGATAGGAAAGACAGAGCCATTTGTAGGGAATAAAAATAGCTTTAGGTATTTTTAATCTTAACAAACAATAAATAATATCCACCAAAGAAGCCTGACCTGGAAGTGGGACAAATAGACTTTTAAGGAGCCTCTTGCCCCCAAGCACCAAGTTAACAGAATTCCTGGTCTCTAGCTGCACATGTGGAACATAGAGGCCGTTATTCTAATCCTACCTGTAGCCACATGAGCACCTCCCATGCATCCTGCCACTGGCAAACAACAGCTACCTACATCTCACAGTTTCCCCTGAGAAAGTTTTATCAGGTGAGAAACGGAGTTCCCTAGTGGCACCACAATCATAACTGGACCCTGGCTCCAACACCTTGCAATGTGTACCAAAGGGAACCCTGCATACACTGAAGACCTCCAATGACCACAGCTGTTACAGGGCTCTCACGCAGGTTTGGGGACTCATGGTTCCTGGGGAACATCTGTAGTCTGTTTCAGTTCTCACAGGCAACACAACAGTATCCTTGGCCCCAGACTCTTCATGGCTACCTCCTCAGGCAGCATATCCCTCCACACCTGCCCACAAATCCGTGACATCTTTCCCCATCACACCAATGTCTCCTGGCTTGAATTCAAGCTCATTTTGACTTTGCACTTGTTGCTTAAGTATCTATCTTCCCCTTAGACCAAGGATGCCCCAATAATAGGTTCAGACTATGCAGCTGTTAAGGTTTAAAAGTGAAATGTCCCCGTTTGATCCTTGTGCTGAAGGTTTGCTCCCCAACTGGTAGTGTGGGGACCTGCCCCACCGGGAACTTAGGCCACCTGTGAAGGTGTTCACTACTCCTTCAATTTTCTGTTGTAATAGTTCAGAAACTTGTCAAAATACAAAGATGGGAGAGTGTAAATGCTGCTGGGAGAAGTACTCTATGGTCAGGATTCCCTAATAACTTGGCAAGAATAAATTTAGTAACATATTTCTCATAAGATGTTCAATAGGTGGTTACAAATGAGCTAATTGGCAAAATATGACACCAGCTGGAACCATAAGAAATCCATCAAGTTACCACCTGGGGAAATTCTTAACTTAGAAAATCTTGCAGACAGGTTTTAAAGCAGCAGAGAACAGTATGTTAAGAATCTCAGCCTCTAAGAAGTGGGATTAGGGTAAAGCAGAGTGTTCAAACCACAGGCTACTCTGGCCAAATATGAAATATGTTGGGCTTCCAGCTGCTGCCAACAGCTGACAAGTGATTCATAGTCAAGGCTATTTGATCTCTTTTTTTCTTTTTTTTTTTTTTTTTGGTTTTTCGAGACAGGGTTTCTCTGTGTAGCTTTGTGCCTTTCCTGGAACTCACTTGGTAGCCCAGGCTGGCCTCGAACTCACAGAGATCCGCCTGGCTCTGCCTCCCGAGTGCTGGGATTAAAGGCGTGCGCCACCACCACCCGGCTTGATCTCTTTACTACAGAAGAGAGATAAGCTTCTAAAAGTTCCAAGCCAAAAAAAAAAAAAAAAAAAAGAGCATTTACTCAATATTTTAACTATTAAATATTTAAATGTTTCACTAGTAAAACTTATTACAGGCTCCAAGGGGTATTATTAAACCTGATATTCATGAGAAAAAAAGACCAAGTCCACAACTTCTAATTAAAGTAATCTGTATTTTGGGGTGCACCCTAGACTTGAAACTGGCCAGCTGGCTGCCTCACCCTAATTTGGGATTTGAGAGAGCAGCCCCTACTGACCTCTAGAAGTTTCTTTTATAAGAGAGATAGGGTGTTCATGGGGACTAAAGGGTTGGCAGTTATCAAGAGGAAGATATAATAAAAATGGGGGAACAAGCAGTTTATATCTGACCTAAGAAACAGAAACTTAATTATAAATAGAAACCTTCTTTAGCAAAGACTTAATATAGAACAAACAGGAACTTCTTAATTACAATTAGAAACCTTATTTTGCCAGGACTTAACACAGGACGAACA